TGAGGCTGCTGGAATGGCAGGACCAGGAGGGATCCCGCTGCCCACCCACCCACCCCTGGGGCACAGCACCTGCTTCCAGGCTAAGGGGTGCTGAGTCCTTGACACCTGGGATGCGCTCCCTAGGCACGGTGACACCGGGGTGCACTCCCCAGGCACGGTGACACCCGGGGTGTGCTCCCTAGGCACGGTGACACCCGGGGGTGCTCCCTAGGCACGGTGACACCCGGGGTGCACTCCCCAGGCACGGTGACACCCGGGGGTGCTCCCCAGGCACGGTGACACCCGGGGTGCACTCCCCAGGCACGGTGACACCCGGGATGCACTCCCCAGGCGCGGTGACACCCGGGGGTGCTCCCCAGGCATGGTGACACACATTCAAGGTTCTCCTTCTTAGAGGTTGGTGGTCAACCTGGGCCACATGAGACCTTGTATCGAAAATAAAGTTTGCAAAGCTGCCCAGCAGGCTGTTTTCTTCGGTTGAGTTCACGGCCCGGGCTGCTGTGAGCTCCTCCTGTCTGCCCTGCAGGCTGCCCTCGGCTGCGGGCCCCGCCCCGCCCGCCCGCCATGGACCAGGACTATGAGCGCAGGCTCCTGCGACAGATCATCATCCAGAATGAGAACACGGTGCCGTGTGTGAGTGACGGGGGGCACTGTGCATGGGCTGAGGGCCGCCCTGGGGTCATCGCGGCTAACCCCAGCCCTCCCTCCCCCAGGTCTCAGAGATGCGGAGGACCCTGACACCAGCCAACTCCCCAGTGTCCTCGCCCAGCAAGCATGGTGACCGCTTCATCCCCTCGCGGGCCGGAGCCAACTGGAGCGTGAACTTCCACAGGATCAATGTGAGAGCCAGGCTGGGCCGGGCGGGCCCGTCACCCTGGGGTGGGCACAGCCGCGTGTTGCGGTGACCCCCACGGGTTCCTCTCCCGTAGGAAAACGAGAAGTCCCCCAGCCAGAACCGCAAGGCCAAGGACGCCACCTCAGACAACGGCAAAGGTGAGGCTCGGCCCCGCCCACTCAGCCACAGGCCCCGCCCAGCTAGTCTGCCCTCCCCTGATGCCCCGCCCCGCCGACTCCACCCTCCCGAGGCCCCGCCCCCGAGACGCTCCCAACGCCCCGCCCCCCCGCAGATGGCCTGGCCTACTCGGCGCTGCTGAAGAACGAGCTGCTGGGCGCGGGCATCGAGAAGGTGCAGGACCCGCAGACGGAGGACCGGCGGCTGCAGCCATCCACGCCCGAGCACAAGGGCCTCTTCACGGTGAGCCGGGGGCAGCCAGGGCCCGCGGGGCGGGGGTCCGGACCTGCTCTGCCCTTGTGCGCCTCCTGCCCCGTTTGTCAGCTTTGGGGTGCTCAGGGTTTGCAAGTCCCGAGGCTGCAGCAGCCGCTCAGTGCGCTGTCCCTGCCGCAGTATTCCCTCAGCAGCAAGCGCTCCAGTCCCGATGACGGCAACGACGTGTCCCCGTACTCCTTGTCCCCCGTTAGCAACAAGAGGTGAGCCGGGGCCGGGGGCCGCCGGTGATGGGGGGGGGAACACGGCCCCGGGCGGCAGCGAGCGGTGTCCTGCTGTCCCCGCAGTCAGAAGCTGCTGCGGTCGCCACGGAAGCCCACGCGCAAGATCTCCAAGATTCCCTTCAAGGTGCTGGATGCGCCGGAGCTTCAGGACGACTTCTACCTCAACCTGGTGGACTGGTCCTCCCTCAACGTGCTCAGTGTGGGCCTGGGTACCTGCGTGTACCTGTGGAGCGCGTGCACCAGCCAGGTGGGCGCCCAGGCACCCTCGGGGGGGGGGGGTCTGACTGACCCCCCATGCAGCCCACAGGGAGGGGGCGGGAGGGAGGGAGCAGCCTGCAGAGAGCCACCCCTACCCTCCAGGTGCCCCCCCACACCCCGGCTTCTCCCTGCGGCAGCTCTGGGGCCCCGTGGGCTCTGGGGCGCTGGTCCCCTTGCCAGCCTCTGAGGCGTCTCTGTGCTGAGTGGGGCCTGGGGAGGCACAGCGGAGGGGCGGGTCTGGGGCCAGCCCGTCAGTCCCTGCTCCGCCTCCTGCCCACAGGTGACCCGGCTCTGTGACCTCTCTGTGGAAGGGGACTCGGTGACTTCCGTGGGCTGGTCTGAGCGGGTGAGTGAGGAGGGTGGAGCCGCCTGGCCCTTGGGTCTTCAGTCAGGCCGCTCAGCTGAGGGCGTCTTCCCCACCCCCCAGCAGCCGCCTCCTGGCCACCGTGTTGGTGCGACTGCGCTGCTCCTGCAGCGGCCTGCAGTGCTGGGGGGGCCGGTGTGTGCCCCAGCACGGGGCTGGACCGGTGATGGATAACCCCAGCACTCCGAGGCTGAGGCTGGAGGATCTCCCTGAGTTTGAGGTCAGCCTGGGTAACATCTCGACTCAGTGGCAGCCTGGGCTACAGTGAGCCCATGTTTTAAAAGGCAAAACAGAAAAAACGAGCTATAGAGATGGCCCTGTGTCTCTGGGGAGCACAAGATGAGCAAACTTCTCATCCCCACACCCACCTGATGGCCACCTGGCCACACTGTCGCCCTAGGGGAACCTGGTCGCCGTGGGCACACACAAGGGCTTCGTGCAGATCTGGGACGCGGCTGCTGGGAAGAAGCTGTCGGTGCTGGAGGGCCACACTGCGCGAGTGGGTGAGGACCTGGCCAGCCCAGCCGCGCCCTGGGGCACAGCCCTGGAGCAGGCCCAGGCTGACCTCCTGTCACCCTGTAGGGGCGCTGGCCTGGAACGCAGACCAGTTGTCATCCGGCAGCCGTGACCGCATGATCCTCCAGCGGGACATCCGCACCCCGCCCCTGCAGTCGGAGCGGCGGCTGCAGGGCCACCGGCAGGAAGTGTGTGGTCTCAAGTGGTCCACAGACCACCAGCTCCTGGCCTCGGGGGGCAATGACAACAAGGTAGGACTCCTGTCACCCTCCCTGTCCACCGTTCGCCTAGGCCCACACTAGAACCTGGGGCGGGGCAGCCTGAGGCCTCACGGGAGGGGCTTCCCAGGTCCTGGCCCAGGTATTCAAAGCCCACATCCCTGGGGTCCACAGAGTTGGCCGTGGGGTGTACCTGCCCCGGCCTGCCCCCTGCCCCCTGCCCCCGCCCGCCCGGTCACAGCCCCGCCTGCCCCCCGCCCCGCAGCTGCTCGTCTGGAACCACTCCACGGTGAGTCCAGTGCAGCAGTACACGGAGCACCTGGCGGCCGTGAAGGCCATCGCCTGGTCCCCGCACCAGCATGGACTGCTGGCGTCTGGCGGGGGCACAGCCGACCGCTGCATCCGCTTCTGGAACACCCTGACGGGCCAGCCCCTCCAGTGCATCGATACCGGCTCACAAGTGTGCAACCTGGCCTGGTCCAAACACGCCAACGAGCTGGTGAGCGCGCAGGGCTGGCACGAGCGGGCGCGGAGGTGGTCCAGCCCGGCGGCCCAGCCCGGCAGCCCCATGCACTTGCACGCGCCCTCTGCGGCTCTGACTCCCGGTCTCCACACTAGGTGAGCACACACGGCTACTCGCAGAACCAGATCCTCGTGTGGAAGTACCCGTCCCTCACGCAGGTGGCCAAGCTCACCGGCCACTCGTACCGGGTCCTCTACTTGGTGAGTGTCGGTACCGCTGCCCTCGGCCCCTGCGGCTGCACGTGGTGGGCGTCCCTGGACGGCCAAGGGGGTGACACACCAGCCTCCTGCTGCCCGCTCCTCATCTCAGGAGCAAAGCCACCACTAACCAGTGTCCCCGTCCTGGGGTGCGGGGAGGGGAGGAACCCCCCAGCTGACCTCGGGCCACATGGCCTCTGTCCAGCATAAGGGTCAGTGTCCCTGGCCGCTGCCTGGTAGGCCCAGCTGTGTCTTGCCCAGCTCGGGAGTCCAGGGTCTGTGTCCCCTGGCACCTGCCTGGCTTCTGCCTGGGTCTCAGAACCTGCCTGCTGCGGCCGGAGAACAACCAGGGCCCTCTGTCCCCTCTGTAGGCCATGTCCCCTGACGGGGAGGCCATCGTCACCGGGGCTGGAGATGAAACCCTGCGGTTCTGGAATGTTTTCAGTAAAACTCGCTCTACAAAGGTAACGTGGGTGGGGGGTGACTACCCCCCTGCTGTCACGCCCCTCGGTTCTCAGGGCGCCCTGGCACACAGTCACTCATGTTCCCTGTTCCCAGGAATCCGTGTCTGTGCTTAACCTCTTCACCCGGATCCGATAGACCCGCGGGCGGGATGCGCAGCCCATGGGGCAGAGATGGAGCAGCCAGCATGCATGGGCCCTGCAGTCCTCAGAGGCATCTGGCGGGCGGGAGCCGGGCCGGAGACCCCAGAGTCTCATTAAACGCCTCGTTGTGAGCTGTGGAGCCAGTGTCTGGGACAGGGACACGGGGACCCTCAGCCACCGGCTGCATCCCCTTCTTGCTGGCCGTCAGCGCTCAGATGGACACTTGTGACCTCCCTGTCACCACTGCCCGAGCCATATTGGACACAGCTGAGCAGGAAGCCCGAGATCCCATCAATTCCCCAAACCCAGTATCACCTGGGACCTGTGGACCAGAGCCATTGCGCCCCCCGCAACCTCCCGAGTGTCACCCCAGCCAGAACATCCTGGGAGGCGCTGGCGGGGACCTGCGCCTCTCGCCCTGACGTCCTGATGCGTTCCACCCGTGTCTGTGTGCACCTCCTGTGACCCCATGCCTGTCCGCGTGCCTCTTCCCAGCCAGCTGCCTCGTCTGCCGCGTCCACCTCCTTCTGGCCTTCTGGAAGCTTCCCAGGCCTCCCTGACCTCAGACCCCATTTCTGCCGCCCCTCCTCACCTGGGGACACTGCAGATCCCCAGTGTGTGGCTGGCCATGGTGTGTGCACGTGTGTATATATGTATCTGTGACGCCCTGGGTCTGTTGTGCGTTTTCTTGCCTTGTTCCAGCTGATGGCCGGGACCCAGGTCACTGTGGGGTTTGCCGCCTGGGGGGCTGGGGTGTGGCCTCCTGTCAGGCTCTGGTCGATTCTTAGCAAAGCCCAGGCCAGTGGCCTCAGTGCATGCTGTGCTCCCCACTAGGGGCTTCATCCCAGCAAGGCATCGGCTCAGCTCGGCCTGTCAGGAGTTCAAGGTTCAGGGTCACCTGCTGCTACTCACAGCCTGGACTTTGCCCTGTCACCAAATTCAAAATGTCCAGTCAGGACCCTCAGCTGTGTGCTGGTGCAGAGGGTCCCCTGTGGCCTGTTCCTGGGCTGGCCACACAGGAGACGTGCAGGGGACCTAGATGCAGTTCGTATTCTGTTCCTGATGTCCCAGGTGGGTGGTGCAGGAGGCGCCCCCTGGACAGAGCAGCCTCGTCCGTCTGTCCACCTCAACACCAAACTGATCAGAGTCTGGGCTGGTCTCCAGTGGGCAGCCAGATGTGAAGGGTGAGGGCCGGTGGGGGCCTGGGCAACGCACAGCAAGGTCCTATCTCCATTGGCTGGGGGTAGAGGAAGAGGTCCAGAACCCAAGCCCACAGAGCCTTCCAGAAGGACAGGCAATCGGGTGTGGCCTAGGCCCCCACCCACAACATGGCTCGCTGTAGTTTCCCTGGGGAAAAGCCTGCCATGGGACTCAGGAGGTCTAAAGCCTGGCTGGCTGTGTGCCCCGGCCCTGAGGGGAACGGTGCTCAGATGTGCCCTTCCACAGTCTGGGCTGTGGCGCAGTCTGCACAAAGACCCTGGGTCGGGACAGGTGACCAGAGTTGATGTCTGTGCTGTGGACCATGGTGTCCAGGCAGCTGGCACCTGATAGAGGCCCTGCCCATGGGCAGTGGTGGGGCGAGTGTGGTTGTGTTGGCATTTGTTTATTGTAGTAAAATATACAAAGCGTACAATGTACCATCATAAAGTGAGCTGGCCGATGGATTCAGCATCCTCAGTTACATAACAATCACCTCTAACTAACTCCAGATCAATCGATGACCAAAGAGGCCCCAACCACAGCCCCACAAGGCCACTTCCCTCTGTGGAGGCCTAGAGTGCAGTTCCGTCAGGGAGCTCACACGCCGTGGTGTTGTTTCCGGGCCCCTTGCTGAGCACCGTGTCCTGAAGGTCCCTCCACATGGGCTGACAAGTCTCCGCTCGTGGCTAAGTACTGGTCCAGAGCAGGCACCCATCACCCAGCAGAATCCCCCCTGGCTCACACTGAGTCCCACGGAGCACAGTGCCCTCCTTGTCCACAGGACAGAAGGGTGGGGTGGGGTGGATAAAGGCTGTCGAGAGAGCGTGGCTTCCTGCTGTGGGGCAGGGGGAGCAGAACATCCAGATGCCCCCATGTAGGGAGCTGGCGGAGCCACAGACCCCAAGCCCCGCACCAGGAAGCAGGCCGAGGTCATGGGGCCCACTTCCCTGTTGCCGGGACACCTTTGTCCCTGTCAACAATGGCCCCAGGGCCTTGGTGGTCCGAGCCTCTGAGAAGCAGAGGCAGCCATGGAGAACCTGAGGCGGGAGGCCTCCCAGCCATTTGTCCCCTCGGGCACCCTGGAACTGTACTTCCCTGCCCTCCTACACAGGTGGGTCCCTGCATTTGGCACCCCCTTCACCCGGGCACCAGCTGGCCACCTCCTAACCTGCCCTCGGGTGGCTGAGATGTGGGCTGGGCTTGGAAGCTCCTGGGCTGTGTGTGTGTGTGTGTTGGGGAGGTGAGGTCTCATGTAGCCCAGGTTGGCCTCAGCTTCACCATGGAGCTGAGGATGACCTTGAACTTCTGATCCTCCTGCCCCCCCCACAAGTACTGGAATGTGCCACCATGATGTACATTTGTTCTAATTTGACACAGGATCTTTCTGGGTAGCCCAAGCTATTCTTAACCTCCCAAAGCCCTTGCTCACTCCTCACTCAGCATGCCGAGCACGGGTTTGTGCTACCCGGGAAAACAGTCCCATTTCACAGGCCTGTTTGGGCTCTGAAACTGTAGGGGCCACACGCCCTTCTCCACTGCGAATTCCCTAAGCCCGGCACCGCATGGGTACCATCTATGGGGAGCTTCCGCAAAGCGCGACCCTGCCTTGGTCCCCTGGTGACGCCAGAAGCCAGGCTCATGCCTGTTAAACAAGCACTTGGGAGGCTGAGGCAGGAGGATTGCCTCAGGTGAACACTGACAGTGAGACCCGCCTCAAAAAGAAGCAGGGCCACGCTGGCTGATAATGACTGCAGGCGGGGTGGTGCACGGAGGACACGCTGGCCAGGGACGGGGGGACCCTCGCCCCACAGCACCTTTAGGGGGTCAGACACCCCTGAGACAGGGCAGCAGGCTGGGAGCAGCCGGCTTGGCTCAGCCGCCGCCCTCCTGCAGCCATGACTACCTGTCCCTGGAGGGGCCCCGCTGGGCGCCGGCCGTCAAGCAGGCCACGCGCTGGAAGTTCACGCCCATGGGCCAGGACGCGGCCGGCCAGGTGTGGTACACGGGCCTGACCAACTCGGAGCCGCGCGAGGCCTGGTACATGCTGCCCGACGCGCTCGACAGCCCCTACCGCGAGGCCCACGCGCGCTGGCACGGCTGCTTCGAGAGCCGCCAGCGCGGGCTGCCCTCCGGTGAGTGTCCCGCCCCGGGCCGGCCGCGCACCCCCGTGGGCCCACGCTGACGCCGCCCTCGCCTCCCCGCAGCCTACACGCAGCACCTGCGGGAGACGGCCTTCTGGGACCCCACGCTGCCGGCGCAGTACCTGGGCGCGGGTACGCGCTGGGGGTGCGTGCCCTGGAGGGACAGGCACGTGCGCGGCAAGGAGTTCGGTGAGCGGCGGGCGGGGGTGGGGGCTGGGGGGAGCCGGGGCGGGGTGCACGCGGGTCACCCCAGCACTCCCGGGGCAGAGGCAGCCTGGGCTACCCGGAGAGACCCGGTGTCAAAACAGCGGGGGAGTGGGGCAGCGGGTGGGACGGGGCGTGGCCGCTGCGGGGGCGGGGCCATGGGGGCGTGGCCGCTGCGGGGCGTGGCCAGCAGGCCGAGGGGCGGGGCCGCGGCGGGGGCGGGGCCAGCAGGCCCAGGGTCCCGCAGTGCCAGCCTCTGAGCACGGTCCGGGTCCCCAGTGGTCAACAGGAACCTGTTTGGGACGGAGCAGCCCAAGCGGTCCAACTACGTGCCCGACCTGTCGCCGCCCCAGCGGCCGCGCTACACCTCGCAGGACTTCAGGCAGCGCGGCGGGGAGCGCCCCTGCCCGGCCACCGGGCAGCCGCCCCCGGCCTTCACGCCCTCGCTCTGATAAAGCCGCACTGCCACCCGTGCCTGCGCGCGTCCCTCCCTCGGCCACCCGTGCCTACGCGCGTCCCTCCCTCGGCCACCCGTGCCTGCGCGCGTCCCTCCCTCGGCCGCCCTCCCTCCGCGCGCACCCGGGGCCTCCCGACCGTCCCCGCGGGCTGACCGAGGCCCTGGCCTCCCAGTCCCTGCTCCAGGCCGAGGCCGAGTCCACGGCTGGGGCGGGGCACCCAGGGCGCAGGGAGCTCGGCCAGGTATCACCCCCCCCTGCACACCGTGCCCTCTGACCCCAGGCAGGTGGGGGGCCAGGGAGCTTAGGGTGTCTGGTCCTTCGTCCTGTTGCCGCGGGGAGCCAGGTCAGGGCCGGTCTCCGAGGTCCCCTGAAATTGAGGAGTGGGTGGCATTGGGAAGGGCGGGTCCCAGGTCGCACCCCCCCCCCCAGCCCCGAGTCCCCACCCACCCAAGCCGCAGCGGTGGAGACTCACGGGTGCGGATGCGGATGGGCCAGATGAGGAGGCTGCAGAGAGCCAGGGCGGCGGCCACCCCCACGCCGCCCGTGACGATCACCATCACCCAGTGGTAGAAGCCAACGCAGGCCCTGCAGCACAGCTCGGAACTGGGGGCAGAAGGCGGGCTGAGGGTCCCTGGGATCGCTGCAGCACCCTGCAGCCGCCCCCCACCCCCGGCTCCCACCCACGTTCCAGGGCACCCTAGGCCTACACACACACCCCCCACAGACACACACGAAGTTCCCCTGCGCCCGCAGCCCGACCCAGTCGGTTCCTGAGCTCCAGCGTGGGCCGGCCCTGCCCCAGGGCTTTGCACGGCCCGGCTGTGGTACCGAGGCTCCTAACACCGGTCAGGTTCTCAGGACCCCTCCCGGCCTCCTGCCCGACCCCGAGTCCTGAGCCGGCACCTTCCCACCCCCACAACCCACTTCTGCATTGCCGTTACTGACACGGCCGGCACTGTCCTGGGCCGGCTGGGTGGCTGGGTGGCTGAGGCACCCACGCCCTGAGGGGTCCGAGTGGGCTGTGCCACCCGCAGCCCGGCCCTTAGCTCACGGGGACCTCAGTTCGCAGGCGGAGGAACATGGACTCACGGGCAGGGGTGCAGGCTCTGCGCGACCATCACGGCCAGCCCGTTGGCCACCTTGTCCGAGAAGCTCATAGCGCCGTACACGAAGGCTCCGCTGCGCTGTGGGGCACGCAGGGTCAGCGCCCAGCCCCGGGGTGCGGGCCGCGGCCTCCCAGGGCCCCGCCCACCAGCCCTACCGTGTGGGGGCCGATGAGGTCGGCGGTCATGGCCAGCGAGGTGACGAGGATGGTGGCGCAGCCGGCACCCAGCAGCACCGCGGCCCCGTACACGGCCACGCCCAGCTTATCGGCCAGGGCCACCCATGCGGCGAAGGCCAGGATCACCAGCAGCCCGGTGAAGTAGGTCATCTAGGGAGGAAGGAGGCGGGTCCTGCATCGGCCCACAGTGCGGGACGGCCTGCGCCCGACACCTGCCCCCTCCCGACACCTGCCCCCTCCCGACACCTGCCCTCTCCTGACACCTGCCCTCTCCGGTCCTCAGCCCGGGGAAAGCACCATTAAAAACGCGTACTGCACTCGGGAGGCAGAGGCAGGTGGATCTCTGTGAGTTCGAGGCCAGCCTGGTCTCTAAAGCAGGTTCCAGGAAAGACACAAAGCTACACAGAGAAACTTTGTCTCGAAAAACAAACAAACAACACGTCCTATTCTCCCATGACAGGCACTGCCGGTCCACGCCCAGGGCAGACATTACTAATCGACCTTATGCTATACAGCCAGGTTAGACATTGCTAATCCACTTTCCATTCTACATCCTGGGTAGGCGGTCCAAGCCAACCCACCAGGCTACTAGAAGAACAGCCTGGAAGATTCCAGAGCCCTGTGGCCTGAGGGCCAGAGAATCCAGCTGCCCAGAAGTCTGGATTGTAGAATTCAGGCCACTGTCTGACACCAGGGGTGTGGGTCTGCCCTGGGGGGGGCTCCCCCAGCCTCCCCCTCCCCCTCCCCCCACCCCCGTCACTCACATTCCTCCCTATTCGCCTGTTGATGGGCTTCATGAGGAAGGAGGAGATGAAACCGCTCAAGTACATCACCAGAGGGATGGTGGCGATGAACTTCTGTGGAGGGAGAGGCAGTGGTGGTCCAGAGAGGGCTTCCGGGTGGGGGTGGGAGGGGCCGCCCCCCTCCACCCCGCTGTCCACCCCCCGGCCTCACCTTGGGCAGGCTGAGAGAGTAACTCAGGTACATGGCAATGTAGGTCTGAGACAGGTTCACAATCAGCCTTGTGGTCATGTACAGCATGCCCACCTGTGGGCAGATCAGCAGGGGGACAAGCCAGGGGTCAGGGGGGACCCAGTGCGCTCCCAACAGTAAGGGACTTGGAGAGCAAGCCGAGGGCTTCCACAGCGGGCACTGGCTCATTACAGATGGCTGCTCAGCAGGCCAGGAGGGAAGAAATCTGTGATTAGTAATGTCTGTCCTGGATGGGGTAACGTTTGCCCTGCATGTGGAATGGGAAACTGATTCAGTGTCTGCCCTAAGCATGAAACAGAAATCAGTTTGCCCTGAGAGTTCAATGAAGGGGTGATTAGTGATGTCTGTCCTGGGAGTGAAATGGAAATCAGTAACGTCCACTCTGAGCACGGGATGGACCGTTAAAAAATAACGTATGCCGTGGCTGTAGAAGATTGATTCATGGGGCCGGGCAGTGGTGGCGCACACCTTTAATCCCAGCACTCGGGAGGCAGAGGCAGGCGGATCTCTGTGAGTTCGAGGCCAGCCTGGGCTACCAAGTGAGTTCCAGGAAAAGGCGCAAAGGTACACAGAGAAACCCTGTCTCGAAAAACCAAAAAAAAAAAAATAATAATAAAATAAAATAAAAGTAAAAAAAAGAAGATTGATTCGTAATGTCTGCTCTGGATGTAAAATAGAAGGCTGATTAGCAATGCCTGCCCTGGTACAGGGACCCAGCGTGAGATCCACTGGTAAGGTCTGTCCTGGGTGGCTCTGGAGAGACTGGTGTCTTCTCCAGTCAGCTCGGCCCCCACAACGTACCTGATAGAAAGCTGGCTCCCGAAGCCAGTGCTTCCAGAGCAGATGTGGCCGGGCCGGAGGGGCCACCAAGGGGCTGTGCTCATCAGGTTCCGTGCCCGGGGGCCGGCGCCGCCCCTCCTTGGTACCCAGATGGAAGAGCAGGGAGAAGACGGCTCCCACGCCCACCACCAGCAGGGCCAGGTTCTGGGAAGGACAGCAGGGTCAGCCATGGCTCCCGCAGACTCGAGGACCCTGGGGTGACCGGAACGCCCCGACTTACCCGAAACACCGGCACATCCTGGACGCCCAGCTGGTCACCCACACTGTCGTCCTGCCCCGCATGTGAGGAGCCCTGCAGATGGAGCAGCAGCCAGGCGGCACCATAGACCGTGATGTTGGCCACCACGGTGAATGCGTACCTGTGGGCGAGGGGCCGGGCTGAGCGCACACAGTCCACAGACGCGGTCTCTGGTACACAGCAAGTGCTCAATAAATGCTTACTGTCGGTCAGAAATCCAGAACACCACCCCCTAACTCCCCAAACTGGCGGAACTGGTCCACAAGGCCACAGCGTCCCACCCTGAGTGTGACTCCCCGAGGACCAGGCCACAGATCCGCTGTAGAGCAAAGGGCCCAGTCCCGTGGGGACAATGAGGCCCTTGAGCTGGGGTTCCTTTGAAGAGCGGGTGTCCCTGAAGGGCCTGGCCTAATCAGGTGACTCAGGACACAGGCCTTGGGCTGCACCCTGGGGTCACAGACCACTCGGCTGGCCTCAGAGAATCGTCAAGGCGCAGTCCAGGCTGGTGAACGCCTGCACTCTAGCTACTCTGCAGGCCGAGGGGAGTTCCGGGCAATGTCAGCCTGGGCCACGTGGGAAGAGACGGACTCAAATGTTTTTTTGTTTGTTTTGTTCTTTTGTTGTTTGTTGTTGTTGTTGTTTTCCTAGACAGGGTTTCTCTGTGTAGCTTTGCGCCTTTCCTGGATCTCACTCTGTAGCCCAGGCTGTCCTGGAACTCACTTGGTAGCCCAGGCTGGCCTCGAACTCACAGAGATCCGCCTGGCTCTGCCTCCCATATTTTTTAAAATATGGGCTGGCAGTGGTGGCGCACACCCTTAATCCCAGCACTCGGGAGGCAGAGGCGGGCGGATCTCTTGAGTTCGAGGCCAGCCTGGGCTACAGAGTGAGATCCAGGACGGCCTGGGACACAGAGAAACAAAACAAGGAAAGGAGAAAGTGTGGCGACAGGAGAGTCCGTACTTCCTCTCCGTGGCTCACCCGACAGAGACACAGTTCCCGAGACTCCCAGCTAGGCCGCCATCCCCAACCCTGGAGTACCTGAGGGCTGTGAGCTCCACCTTCTCGTGGTCGCTGGTCACCAGCTCTGGGATGAGACTCAGGTGGGCAATCTGCGTGGCCGCCCAGCCAAACTGGAAGATGACGATGAAGGGTCCATAATAGAGCAGGGCGGCCCACTCAGGGGTGGCCTCCCCGCAGCCCAGGCACGGGCTGAAGATGAACGGGAAAGACAGCAGGACACAGACGGTGCCTGTGAGGGCAGAGGGTGGCAGGCAGGGGTGAGAGGAGGCCACAGATCAGGGCACCCGCCTCCACCCTCTGCTCAGACGGAGAAACAGGCCACAGCAGGCCAGGAGTCTTCTCCATGCCTGTGACTAGGACGGAGAAAGGACAAGGATGGGGTCCCTCGCCGGCTCTGAGCTCAGGGTCACCCCCCGACCCCACCCCACCCCCCGTCACATCTACGCTCTGCCCTGGGGGGAGGGGAGACCAGCTGGGCAGGGAGGAGTCAGTCCGCTCCTGGTCCTGGGGACAGGACACACGTGGTGCCTGTCCTGCTCCATGCACTCAGAAAAGGACACTGATGAATGCAAGACCCTCCCTCACCCCATCATGCCGTCCCCCCAGGCCGACCAGCCAAGCCCCTGCTCCAGCGCCTGTCCCTGGGCCTTCCCCGGCTGCCCCATGCACTCATCCCCCCACAGCCTCTGCTGTGTGTCTGCAGACCCGGGGTTTGTCACACCCACACCCAGGGACGCCCGACCACCTGACCCCAGGCTCCCTGGGGCTGGCGCAGGCGCCACCAGCCACGTCCCTCCCATGTCCTAGGCACTCAGGCCAGGCTGCGGACACCGAGCCCCAGGTGGGTCAATAACTGAGGTCCCTCTGCAGCCCAAAGGGAGACATTTTCACTCAGTCCGGAGGAGCGCAAAGGCACTGCACAGCCCAGGTCAGCCCTGAACGCCTGATCCTCCTGCCTCAGCTGGGATTAAAGGCAAGCACCACCACATTTTTAAGTAGATGAACTTGATGAACTTGAGGCCCGGTGAGACAGGGAACCCTCAGAAAGGACTCTGAGCCTCGTCCCTCTGTCTGGGCTTCCAACTTCCCCTTCCTCCCGGAGGTGACCTCACCAACCCCCATGCCTTGGATTGAGAAATGAAACCAACCCCCAGGAAGGGACCGGGGCAGATTCCTAGGGGCTGCCCCAGGGGGCCGTGTGGCCTCTGGACTCTCTCTCGTGACCACACCACACCCTGCTCTTTCTGGGGCCTGGTTAACCATTGGCCTAGCCAGGTCAGGCTGGTCAACTGCAGGTGGGCGGCTTGGCCTCTCTGGGCCTCCGTTACCCTAAGAGTTCTTGTTTGGCTCTGGGACCCAAAGTGGGGTAAGCCTCAGGTTTAAGCAGCTCATCTGCAGCGTGGTGGTGCACACCTTTAGTCCCAGCACCCGGGAGGCAGAGGCGGGTGAATCTGAGCTCGAGGCCAGCCTGGGCTACAGTGTGGGTTCCAGGACAGCCTGTGTCCGAGTCTCGCCTCCTGCCTCTCACTTTCCAGGATTCTGTCACCCCAGTCTGTTATCTTGGGCCATGCCCTTCCCTGACAGTCATCGGGCGGTCTAGCCTCCTTCCTTCCTCACTCTCCTGGCCCGGGCAGCGTAGAGAAGTCGTCAGTTTGCTGGGGTGTCTACCTGCCTCACCGGGTTGGGTGCCTCTCCAGTCTGTCCCCCTGTGATGGGGGCCAGGGAATCCTCCCCAAACCACCCACCCACGCCCAGGCCTGGGCCCAGGGCCTTGGCAGGCTCAGCTGGCCCCGAGTATCCAGGCAAACACGAGCCCTTTTGAGTATTTTTTTCTTTTTTGAAAACCGGGTCTCACTAGCCATCCCCCTGCCTCAGCTTGTGAATATGACAGGTGTCCAGGCTGCACCTCAAATGCCCACACCAGGCTACTACGGCCCTCTTGTCCCGGAATCTTCCAGGGTCCACAGCCTAGAACAATCCTGAGAAACTAGAAATTCCAGCAGCTGCCGCTCAGCACCCAGCCTGGGGCCACTGTTCTGTCCCGAAAAAATGTCACCAAGGGGCAGGGCTGGGCCGGCAGCCACCCACCCCAGGGGCAGGGCCTGAGCCTCCGGACAGCTGGCTGGAATTCCAAGAGGAGCAGCCACAACCCCACCGCCAACCTCCCCAATGTCCCCACCAACGGAGAGGGGCCCCCGGCTGGGCCGTCCCAGGCAGGGCAGGCGGGTTGGAGGGAGGGCAGGCGGCACGGGGCAGGACAGGAGGCTGGTGTTCAGAGGACGGAGGCTAGACCGCCCGATGACAGTCAGGGAAGGGCATGGCCAAGACTGGGGTGACAGAATCCTGGAAAGAGAGGCAGGAGGCAGACTCGGACGGACACAGGGTGACAGTGGGGGAGAAGGGGACACTGGGTGAGTGTCAGAGGGAAGGGGTCACGCCACAGGATGGCAGTCAGCGGGGAGGATGGGGACACTGGGCGGCAATAGGAGGACGGCCCGGGGTGACAGACAGAGGTGGGGACACCCGGGGTGACAGACAGAGGTGGGGACACCCGGGTGACAGAGGTGGGGACACCCGGGTGACAGTCAGAGGTGGGGACACCCGGGTGACAGACAGAGGTGGGGACACCCGGGTGACAGAGGTGGGGACACCCAGGTGACAGAGGTGGGGACACCCGGGTGACAGTCAGAGGTGGGGACACCCGGGTGACAG